CCGAGGTGGGTGGAGCCAAATTTTAAAAATTCGCAAAACGGTTCCAGAGCACTCCAGACACCGGGCAAAGAGTAGTTTAAGATCAGCGAGGGGTTATTAGTTGAGAAGTGCGAGGCATACGTGTGGAGCGTGCGTCAAGGTGAGCGGGGCCAGCCTTAAAAACTCCTCAAGCGGTTCCAGAGCACTCCAGGCACTCCAGACCTCTATGTGATACGGCCCGGCTTTGCGGGCGTGGCTCCATCGCGCCTACCTGCATTCGTATGATCAAATGCTCGACTAATACCCGGCTTTTCTCTCATCTGTCCACTTGATCAACGCTCCTTACCACCACTCCATACACCGTAATAGTGTTGAAAGTAGCAGGTATGATGCTGCCGCGCCCGTTCGACGAAGCCGTGCTAGATCTCAGAAGGAGGCGCGCCGGTGTCAGCCGGCGAAGCCGGCTGGTTCTATATAACTACTATTTTCGATAGCTGAAAATAGTAAGTGGTTGCTGATGACCCCCCCACTCGACGGAAAATTTTCAGGGAAAGAGTAAATTTTCGGGAAATTTCGGAGAAAACTGGTAGGAAGCTGGGCACATGTAGGAAAGTAAGTAGGTGTTAGGGGAGGGGGGGGTTGGACCGAAACCCTCTTCCAGGGGGGGGGTCGTGCTGACACCACTATTTCAGACATCACGATGCTGTACCCTGTCATCAGTAACGGACCATGAAGCTAGGAATAATATAATTTTTGGGACTTTTCTTGTATATAAACACTGCATTTTTTGAGGCTCTATGCCCTTGATAATTGAAATATATTACTCCTTTACTCTGCAATTTCTTGCGACTTCAAACGCTAACTTCAATACTATCAATTCACATGTTGTTTTGCCACAACTTCCTGCCATCGCCAGGAAAAAAGCTTTCTGTGCAAAGATAATTATGGAGCAATTAATTACTTCTTTGTTTTTGTCCCTCGTCATTCGCCTTGGCGTCTTGATCATAAAGTCTTGACCGCTGCGGCTTCTGAGGCGTGCCAGGCACTCTGTTTGGCCCGGCTCCAGCCCGTTCTTTCTCTAGATGTTGAAGAGGAGAAAGCGACAACAATTCGTGGAAAACGTGCTGATGCCAAGCCTAACCCACTTCCCCTGACGCACCCTTTTATTCGAAGAGAGTAAGACTGTAGGTTCATACGCGACATGACGGTTTCTACAACACATTGAAAAAAACCAGGGCCTATTACAACCCGAAAGAAAAAAATTATTTCCCGCTGAAACTTTGCCATAGGAGGTTATACAGTGCCTGATCATGGATACGGCATTCGTTTTTGTCGCTGATCCCATTCGGCGCAAATGGGTTTTC